TTTTTTTTTCTGTTAAAATGAATGAAATTTTGATCATTTATTTTGGCTGTAATTTGCTACCTCGTCATTTTGCAAGATTTATAATTTTAATTTATTTCTTCTACAGTATACATTAACCCGATCCTGAAACTGGCCGGCCTTACGTGATATCTACGTCACGCATTCGTCACGTGCTCTGTCAACCATCAACCTTCAACTTCTCTAATACCGCATTCTGAACTTTAGGATTCGGCTCTTATCGACTAAATATTTTCGCCATTACTCTGAAGCTATATCATTCGAACTCAAACTCAAGATTTTGTTTGATAAATTAAAAATAAAAGCTTCCTTGATTATTTCTTTAATTAACTACCTGTCGATTGTGTGAATACCTCACAGAGCCATATTTTGACTAGCAAAATATTATCTAAAATTTTTATTTCTGCAGCATAATTACAGTTTAATTAGTGTTAATCTTTTTACTATGTATAATACTATTCTATGTATAATATAATAAAATATATAATATAACAGTAATATTATATATATAATAGTTTCTATATTATTAATAGTCGTCCTTGCCCAAGTTTGCGACCCATCACACAGCAACCTTCATTTCTCTGCCCCTGCTTGCGTTACGGTCGTAATTGTGCGTTCGGTAAACAACTTTCATGACACCGACCTAAAAAAAATTAAATAAACTGACCAACACATCCTGGAAAATTGTCGCTATGAGGTTTTATGTTTTTAAATTGTCGCCGAGAGGTTAATGTTTTAGCGATCCATGACACTAATTTAAATAATTAGTAATACAAACTAATGTATGCTTTGATCGTGAAATTACTTAGATTTAATGCTTGCTTAATTATAGATGAATACTTTAACCCTCAGTACGAGTACTTAATAAATGATAATTTGACAAAACCTTCAGTAAAATGTGAAATAAAAGATGTTCGTTTCAAGAATGTGCAAAAGTTTCCAAAATCACAGATGTTGCTGAGCACATATGTATGGGCTTTGCTATGTATTAAAATAACCAATAGCGCTGCAAAAATATAATAAAGCATTTTTTTGAAGCTTTGATTTACTTCTGAAAACCGAAATAGAAATTAACAACAAATATTTACCCTATGAACATGATCTCTCCCCTTTGCCTTCCGAACACATGGATTACATTATTTGATTTCACCAAAAGTCGATTTAAAAATTAGGTTCCAGAATAGAGTGCGAGTTAATTTCTTAATTAACGGTAATGACAGGCAATGCGTTTAATCGCGGGCTGCACGGGATAAGCTGGGATTGGCGAACTTGCGTATGAATTTTTTTTTATTCAACGGCGGTGCTCATTTCCATTTTTTATTGGATGTTCAAATATTTGAATTGAAAGGCATAAGCAATCCTACTGCATCACTTGAACAATATTTCTCAACAGATTTAGTGCGTACGCTGCTACGTTATTCGGAACAATAGAAGGATCTTTCTTGTTGGAGAAATACAAAATACCTGCGACTAGTTTTTTAACCTGAATTCCTTCGTGCATGAATGTAATACTTTTAAAAAATACTCAGTTGAAACGTGCAAGATTTTTGTAAATAATTGACCAATTTGTGCGTCGATCTAGCGCAGATGGTGGGAATTTCTCATAAAATCTTATTTCATTGAAGAATAAACCACCAGACGGATGTATTTGCATGATATAATAATAAACCTATTTAATATAAATAAGAACTACCGGCTCCCATAATCATGTCTCGCGGCAGATTCGAGGCCCACTACACAATCGCGGCTCACTACACAATTTTAAATCGAGGCTCACTACACAATTTCGGCTCAAATTTCACACTCAGAGAAATAAGTGGGACTTTGTCCAAATAGCGATGCACTTTTGCCTTTCTGTAGATCATCATGACCTACATAGTTTGGCCTTCTGCTCGCACATATTCATCATAATAAGGAGATATGAAAATACGTATCTCTTGGGAGATTTCAGCTCTAGGAAATGTTTTAAAGTATCTTACGATGGTTACGACGGACCTGATGATATTTTATGGGGACTTTACACGTAAAAGCTTGTTCGTAAACTTCTTATACGAGCTGTTAATCATTAATGCAAGGTCACCCTTACCAAGTTCCGCGAGATGAGCCATACTAAATGGACTGTGAAATTGGATAACTTTATAGGTCAATTTGCGCAAGCATAACCGAAAAAACTGATCTCAGGACACTAATCTGAAATAAGTGGAAAACTGGTGTGACAGGTTAGCAATAAATTGGAAAAGAAACTAACCGTAGTTAGAAATATTAATATGAAAGAAAGTCTTTCAAAAAAACTACGTTGAATAATACACCAGGAAAATGTATAATAAAAGTACTTGTCAAACTGAAAATTAATAACTTAAATCATAGAATTCAAGTGTAGATGCGTCAACTGAAGGTCTAAATTCAATTAAGCCTGGGACACTGCAAGCCGCTGATGTTTCTGATGCGTGCAGAAGCCTTTCGAGGTAATTTTTAAGTTAATTGAATAATTCTTGAATAATAATAATTATCATTATTCTAGTTAATATAAAATTAAATTAACAACTTTATGAACTGTATAGCACGGACTATTGCTTTATAAAAACGTGTATTTTTACTTCTGTGATTACCTATTTTTGCCCTGGGAAACTGCGTATTATTGCTCTCAACATTGCATATTATTGATCTCCTAGCGTATTATTGACATTCTTACATATTATTGATCTCATTGCGTATTACAACTCTCATACTTGCATATTAAATCTCTTCTAATTGCGTATCATTGCTCAACTCATCGCGTATCATTGCTCTCCTATCATTACTCACACTTCCTGTATTATCACATTCTAATCCCCGTGCAAACAGCAATGCAACGAACAGACGCGAATAATTCAGTAGAAACCTGCCAGTGCGATTAAATGTTGCATCACCAGGCGGCGCTCCATAACACGCAGTCACCAGACCGTTTGTGCAATAAAAGTATATAAGGAGAACATCAGTTATATGTATTGGGCATGTCGGTTATTTATATCCATTGAGTACGTAAGTAATATTTATATATATATATTGAGAATGTATTTTATAGATAGATTGAGCACGTCAATTATGTAGATTGAGTACGTCAGTTAAATCTATCGACTAATCAACCTAGTTGCAAATGATGTAGACTAGGTGCCTTATTTATTTGTATATTATACATCAGTTATGCCACTTTTTATAAATCATTTATATGTTACGTTTATTGAGAATGTCAATTAAATACAATGAGCGCGTCAGTTTCCAATATATTAAAAATAAGTCGTGTGCCATTACTCCTGCAATTGCGGGTAAAAGTTCAATCGAAGTTAGCAAGTCGAGCGATGTTGTCTGATCAGCGCTAGAAAAATAAATGTTTCGAGTAAAAAACATGTAAAGTTTCTTCTTATATTGATCCTCTCCTGAACGTGTTGTGCACAAGTGAGTAATGGATGTTGATAGAATAGTGAACTTGGGATTTGATGTAATGAAAGGAAATGAGTTTTCCAGTTAATGGCTTGCTGGAAGTTGCCCATTAGCGGAACTGCGCGATCTTACATCAACAAATAATTAGACATTGAAGTAGGTAATCAAAAAGTTATATGTTATTCAAAATATTCCGAAACTTACATATTGCTCGATGCTTCTTAGGAAGAGCACTTATGTGACAATCTTGTGACTAATGACGTTAATATAGGGGAGTGCATTTATTATAAAGATTCTCCATGTAAATAAAACTATCTCTGTTAACACACGACGGGATTCATTAATGCGTTTTACTACGGTCAACATAAATACAGTGACGCGTAATTAAAATATTCGTTGTTTACAAATACTTAATCGTAAAATATCGAGAAATCGATACATAGTTTGGTATAGTAGAGATGAACTGAACCTAAAATGAGATACTTCCACGAACATTAAACGATTTCTTTATGATTAATAAAGAATATTTATAATTATTAGGAATTTTGGTGAATTATAATTCACAAATATCTAAGCAAGCCACTTTAGACAAATAGAACTCGACTTAAAATGATACTAACTAACTTGGGCAAACCAATTATGAATAAAACTATAATTGATGAATAATCACACCTCGTCGAATTTTCGTAAATTGAAAGTAGCAAACTCATAAACTTTAGTTACTGATGATAACACTTAGAGATGCCAAAATTCAAACAAGCGTGTGAACTGATAAATTCTATGGAAATTTAAACGAACATGAAATACTTAATTTAGTATTCGTAGGAGCATGTGACGAAATAATAAACTCTACGGATAAACAAACGAAGATTTAATTATATATGTACGAGTGATATAAAAAATGAATGATTTGACCTACGAAAAGAATCCCGAAATTTGTAACGATATTTAGTTTAAATGGAAAAAATATAACTCACTGCCGTGAATGACAGAGAGCGCATTTTCTCGTCCGTCCGTGACGTGAAGTCACGGACGGACATTGCAAGTACAATAGCGCCTTATTTTCCATAAATGAGAATATGCGCTAAAAATGATAAAAAACTGTATATAAATAAGTTTTTATTCCCACTGAATTTCCAAGCGATCTATAAAACTCAGATAATAATGAGTAAGTTCTGACTCATTCTGATGAAAAAAAAAGAAAAATGACTATCAATTGGCGGAAAATAATGGTAATTATATTTATACTCACAGAGAATCCAATACAACAAACTTGACAGCCGTATAATAGCTCGAGAAAAATCAGTATTTTTCCATAACATTTATGGTATATTTTACACTATAATTCGGCCTCATCGAAAATCATCATATAAATCATGAAACATCATGCAAATCTTACAACATCATATAAATCATAAAACATCAAACAAACCATAAAACTTTATAAAAAAACTTATAACATAATATAATCATAAACATCATACAAATCATACAAGATCATACAAATCATAAAACATTGTAAAATTGAACGTTTATGTATTAAGCTAATGTCTCATACTCACCGGTTATTTCTTAGAGCGTTCAAAGATTATTTATAAATTATTGGATCAGATTACAAGTCTTGATAACAAATTCTGTAAATAATCCAACTTGTCGAGTTCAGTGAAAATCCATAAAATATTGAAACCTTTCGCCTTCAATAAATAATCTTCCATTCCCATAAGAAATTTTTTCAATACAAATTAAATGGGATTTTTTGCCCAATTCCTAATTTTCAACAGGTTCAAGATTGAGGAATTATTGATTTTTATGAATAGTAATTGGCAACTATTACACTTAATTCCATCTATTATATAACACGAATGACAAATTTAGAGATTTTCCACCTTGAGTAACTATTACAAATTTTCAAATACAATTGAATTTCTGAAGTTAATAATGTTTTAAGGAAAAGATTACTTACAAATTTTACGCATTATATTGGTGCATACACGACTTCATTGATAGACAAAATAAGCAGCCAACAGTTATGTTAAGAAAACTCAAGGGTTCTGTGGCCACCAGAGGGGAGCGCGTGGCCACACAACCCCTCACGACGACACCCACCACGGGACTGACGCGTCAGCAAAGTTTACCGCCGTCAAAAATAAGAAAATTATTGTTCCTGTTGCGCAACATTTGGTGTCGAGTTAAGACCTGTTGCAGCAAGTCCAGGTAAGACTAGGCAAGACCTGTTGCAGTAAGTCCAGGTAAGACTAGGCAAGACCTGTTGCAGTAAGTCCAGGTAAGACTAGGCAAGACCTGTTGCAGTAAGTCCAGGTAAGACTAGGCAAGACCTGTTGCAGTAAGTCCAGGTAAGACTAGGCAAGACCTGTTGCAGTAAGTCCAGGTAAGACTAGGCAAGACCTGTTGCAGTAAGTCCAGGTAAGACTAGGCAAGACCTGTTGCAGNGTCGTGATGAGGTTATGATGGCAGTCATGACGAGGTTATGATGGCAGTCGTGACGTGGTTATGATGGCAGTCATGATGAGGTTATGATGGCAGAAAATAACAACAAAACTCGGCAATGACGATAGGAAGGCAAATGAAATTAATCACGACAAAAGATTAAATTATTTAAAATCGGAAGATTTTTCAGCAAAGATTCCTCGAGTCCAATTCAGTAAGATTTTCTTAATGAAGGCAATTTATCAATTCTAATACGAATGTGCGGTGAAATAACATAGAAGTTTTAACGTTGCATATTGCGCTATACAAACGTTTATAAATATCCGTTATTTTACATGGACATTACAATTACGGCTTCAGCAGCACTAAATGCGCTATATCCAGCCTCTCTAAATGTCAGTGAACTGAAGATAATATTATAATGAGTTTATAACACAGCCAATAACGTTAAATTAATGATCTAATAGTTTAAAACGATAACTCATAAGAGATGAAGCGTTCTGACATCAGTTCCTACCCAATGGCGCGAAATGAACTACATATTTTGGCAGGCAGCTGCTATGAATAAATGGCAATTTATATGAACATTTTTCTATAAATTTTTTAGTTAATTGAATTAATAATCTTAATTTAGGTATTAGTTTGCATATTTATTGATTTCCATCAATAAAGAACATCAAACATGAATAAACGATAGATTTGAAACGATTAACGAGTGAATGGCATCTTAGATAAAGCTAATAAATCGATTTATCTGCTACTTAGCGTCTTATTTAGTCTCACTTGACTTAGCATCACTAGCAAACTTCACGATTATAATAAATTGTTCACCAGTAATAATTTAAATTGCTAATCATCATTAGTAGCATTTCGAATTTATTTCATATCGTTTCTATTTGATTCGAATTACAATCAAACAGCTATTCTAAAGGTTGCATTAATCGGGCTTAAATAAAATTATATGCAATGAAGCGCCTTGAACTCTAAAGCTTGTGTCGTAGGACGTTATAAGACAGATCCTAGTGTACAGCCAAACATTCATCCAAGTCCTATTGATGTTAACGCAAGCGAATAACGTTCAGCAACTAATTCGAATGATCGCCCAATGTCGTTAATCAGAAGCTCAGACTTTCCGGTAATCTGAGGATAGAACTTGTGATGAACGACGCAACCAAGGCCGCCACCGCGGAGGTGACAGCTCGGTATTAGACAATGTAGGCTGATTGGGTATACCCTATCTTCAAGTGCAGTCGAAATATTTCCTTTTGAAATAACATATGAGGATATTTTCTTTACTCGTGCTTGCAAAGCTATGATTATAGATACAAGGGTATATTCTCTAATTGCGATTGTACATTCAAATGCATTTCATTTACTTTGATCGTACACACCGAGGAATTATATCTATTTGTTATTACGAAGGTATTATCTCCACTAGTGATCCTAAATATGATGGTAATATCTCCGCATGTGTTCGCGAACAGAGTATAGGCAAGTGAAATAAATAGAGGGTTTTGAGTTTATATTGAACTCAGAGAATCCAACAAGATTACATAAAACGGTTTGACTGATATTTGTGGCGTTAAAAAGAGCCTGCAGGCGCAGGGTCATTTATTCTAAGAGACCATTCATAAAATAATTGATTTAATATAGCAAGGAAAATATAAGTAAGATCCTGTCTTAGAAGTTGATTGTTGGATTTGAAAGTCTGGCAATGCGCTTATAAAATGCTTGGCACAACTGAATTTGAAAAGATCATACGCTAAAACGATCACATTAGTTCGTGCATCAGAAAGAAACTGATTATCACATCAATTCAGTCATCAGAATGCAACTGATTATCACATCAATTCGATCAGCAGAAAGCAACTGATAATCACATCAATTCAGGCATCAGAATGCAACTGATATCGCATCAATTCAGGCATTAGAATGCAACTGATAATCACATCAATTCAGGCATCAGAATGCAACTGATTATCATACCAATGCAGGCTTCAGAAAGCAACTGATTATCATATCACTTGCGGCATCAGACAGCAGCTGATTAGTGCATCAAAATAGACATCCGAAAGCAACGATTATCACATCCATGTAGGCTTTAGAAAGCAACGATTATCACTTCCATGTAGGCTTTAGAAAGCAGCTGATTATCACATCAATGCAGGCATCAGCTATCACGCGATTAATTTTCGCCTTTATGAGGCGCAACTTGGACGTGTTCAACTTGCTACTCTCTCCGCTTTAATTAATACGCGAGAAATTCATCTCACGAACACTGGCCTTGATTTCCAAGGCCGAGGCTGCAGGCAATATGCACGGGTTTCCGAAAGCAGGTTTCAATATTAAAATTTTTCGAAGGAGAGTTGGCAAACATAGTAAAAGCTCAATAAAGGTTCGGCAAAATATCATTTCAACAGGGCTAAATGCCATGGAATAACCTTGTACTGTTGAGAGTATTTTATAAGCAATCGGTCGAGCAACTCAACGTGATGCAATTGTCATCATACACAAGACGAGTCCTACCGTATATATTGAGACTTTTTAACCAAACCATTGTGGTCGAGTTTTCTTTGTATTATATTTATTTTTTTTTTGCCGAGAAATATGAGCTCTTACCACGAAAATATTCACGTAGAAATAAAGCCAATTTAAATATAAGGGCCGATAAAGTTCTTTGCCATTTTAGAAGCATTTATAAAATATTTAGTATTCATTGAAAAATACAATAGTATACCACAGGATATCACGCAAATATGTATGAGAAACGTCACTATACATAACTGTGTTGTTTTAATTCAAGTATTTCTGGGAAGTAATTGTGATAGCTTCGAATGTTAAATACTAAAATTATGCATGAACATCTAGCAAGTTATACTGATAGTTTCATAAGCTAAATGATTGATATATGATTGAACAAATTATACTGACAGTTGCATATGCAAAATGATCGAAATAGGCACACTATGAAAGAAATTATACTGATATTTTCGCATGATCAATGATCGAAATTGGCAAAACTATGAAAGAAATTATACGGATAGTTTCATATTCTAAATGATTGATATAGGCATAACTATGAAACAAATTTTACTGATAGTTTCATAAGCTAAACGATCGAAATAGGTACAGTCATTATGCTCGAAAGAAACAATTATCGTCCTGTACGTATTTACCTTCAAGTCGAGTGATCATCACATGGCTCTGCGTTACCACCCCACTTGTTTACCGTCTCACGCATGCGTAGCGATGTTTACACGCTTGCCATGCAAGAAAAAACATCCGCGTACCCTGCGACGATTGCTGGTAGTGGGGAGGAAACGCCAGCGCATTGTCGGTTACGTAGAATATTTAGTCACATACTACGTTAATTTCAATTCAATTCGCTCCTGAATTATTATTACATTCAAAATATGACGAATAACGGTATTAAAAATTCAATTTTCTTGTACTTGTATTCTTGGTAAAGATTGCACGAATAATTGTAATTGTGAATTTATTAGTTTGTTAATTAAATATTATATATAACTTATTAGGTAATGAATCTAATGGATTACAAATAATTTGAACTTGCATTTATTAATAATTTGAACATGTATTTGTATTAGGCTTTAGTGTATAGTAGAGTATTAAAAATAATTTATATGTCCGTCAATTCATGAATATCCATTGTTCGTACAATATCATAATAATATACAAATTACTTTGATTGTTTCATCCGCAATAAGTACAGGTTTCCAAATGCAGGTTTCAATATCAAAATTTTTTCAAAGGAGAGTCGGTAAACATTGCAAAAGCTCAATAAAGGCTAGGCAATATCTCATTTCAAAAGGGCTAAATGCCATGGAATAACCTTGGAAAAATTCCTCATAAATCTAAAAACAAAACACATTGCGCATCGATGAGAGCCGGCGTGGATCTCATCGAGTCAAGGTGGCTCGGTAAACAGCAGAGGTGCTACAGGAAATGTGTATCGTTACGTGCCCCTTACAGGCCGGTAGCTTAAATAAAGATTATAATGGACAGGGCCTTTACTTTCAAAAAAAGTTAAGAAATCGTAAGTTCATCAGCCAATCATTGACGGCCTTTCGAGCAAAATCCACCAATCATAGACAAGAAATTAGAGCGTAAGTACTTACGTTCAAGTAGCGAGTTTTTAAAGTATGGCCCCTGAACCTCTACGAAACATGCACTCTGAGAAAATAATGAGACTTTGTCCAAGTAGCGAT